ATATGGCTAAGGACTGCAAGAAGCCTAAAAAGGCTGGTCTGAAGAAGGCACAACATAGTGCCCTCATTGCTGAACACCGCCCTGTGCCGAGTGAACTAATCGACATGGATATGTCGGTTGTGGTGTTTGAAGCCAATTTGGTGGATAACCCAAGGGAGTGGTACATTGATACTGGTGCCACTTGCCACGTGTGTTCCGACAAGGGGTTATTTTCTGACTACACTCCTTCAACTGGTCGGAAGCTCCACATGGGCAACTCCTTCTCGTCTGATGTGGCTGGAGTTGGCATCGTGGTGCTGAAGCTGACTTCTGGAAAGGAGTTAAAGCTGAAGGATGTGCTGCATGTCCCAGACATCCGCAAGAATTTGGTCTCCGGATCTCTTCTTGTAGAGCATGGTTTTAAGTTAGTGTTTGAAGCTAAGAAGTTTATTCTTAGCAAGTATGGTAATTTCCTTGGTCGTGGTTATCTCGACAATGGTTTATTTAAAATGAATGTAATGGCTGTGAGCCGTGTAACCGTTTCTAATGATAATAAAAATCGTACTTCTGTTTATATCGTGGAGTGTTCTGATTTATGGCATATTAGATTAGGACATGTGAATCTAAATGCAATTAAACGGTTGATGAACTTAGAATTAATTCCTAATTCTAAAATTGAATCACACAAAAAATGTGAAATTTGTGTTGAAGCCAAAATGGCTAAATTACCTTTTCACTCGGTGGAAAGAAATACTGAACCGTTGGGTTTAATCCACACTGATGTATGTGACTTGAAGTTTGTGCAAACAAGAACGGGTAAAAGATATTTTATAACTTTTATTGATGATTGCACAAGGTTTTGCTACTTATATCTTTTAAGAAGCAAAGACGAGGCTGTGAAAGCTTTTAAAAATTATAAGACCGAAGTTGAAAATCAACTCGGCAAAAAGATTAAAATAATCCGAAGTGATAGAGGTGGGGAGTATGTAGCTCCTTTTGAACAAATATGTTCTGAATATGGCATAATTCATCAAACGACGGCCCCCTATTCTCCACAGTCGAACGGTGTTGCTGAACGCAAGAATCGGACTTTAAAAGAGATGATGAATGCCATGTTGATAAATTCAGGATTACCCTAGAATATGTGGGGGGAAGCTGTTTTAACAGCAAATCATATTCTGAATAAAATACCACCTAAAGGGAAAAATGAGACTCCTCACGAAATGTGGAAAAATCGTAAGTCGTCTTATAAATACCTGAAAGTGTGGGGGTGTTTGGCTAAGGTTTCAGTTCCTGAACCAAAACAAATGAGAATCGGACCTAAGACGGTCGATTATATTTTTATTGGATATGCATACAATAGTACTGCATATAGATTTCTGGTTCATAAATCAAAAAATCCAGAGGTATCGGTTGGTACCACTATTGAGTCGAGGAATGCTATATTCTTCGAGAATATTTTTCCTTTGAAGGAAAGGATAGAATCTCGTTCTAACAAAAGGACGTATGAAATTGCTAGCGGTTCTGTACCAGTTGGTACTGAAGATAAAGAAGAAGAACCGAGACATGGTAAAAGGGTAAAAATGGCAAAAACGTTTGGACCTGATTTTATTACGTATATATTGGATGATGAACTGAGTTCTATTAAGAAAGCTTTGTCTAGCCCAGATGGACCACTCTGAGAAGAAGCTATAAATAGCGAAATCGAGTCCATTATGCAAAATCATACTTGGGAGTTGGTTGATCTTCCTGCGGGTTGTAAATCTTTAGGATGCAAGTGGATCCTAAAAATAAAATACAAAGCTGATGGAACGATTGATAAGTTTAAAGCAAGATTAGTGGTCAAAGGCTTTAAACAAAAAGAAGGGTACGACTTCTTTGATACCTATTCACCTGTGACGCGTATAGCGTCAATTAGAGTGCTTCTCTCAATTGCTGCTTTGCACAATCTTGAGATTCATCAAATGGATGTCAAAACAGCATTCTTGAATGGTGAATTAGAAGAAGAGATTTACATGGAACAACCCGAAGGTTTTTTAGCACCTGGACAAGAGAAAAAGGTGTGCAAATTGATTAAATCCTTGTACGGACTTAAAAAAGCTCCGAAACAATGGCATTTGAAATTTGATGACGTGATGTTGTCAAATGGGTTCAAAATTAACGAATGTAACAAATGTGTTTATGTTAAAAACACATCAAATACGTATGTAATTGTATGTCTATATGTAGACGATATGTTGATCATGGGAAGTAGCCATGACGTGATCATGGATACAAAACGAATGTTGAAAAGAAATTTCGACATGAAAGATATGGGTTTAGCTGATGTAATTCTTGGAATAAGAATTATCAGAACCCAAGATGGAATTGTCTTGTCACAATCTCATTACGTAGAGAAAGTGCTCAAGAAATTTAATGCCTATGAAGGTCCTCTGTCTAAGACACCCCTTGATCTTAGCGTAAATCTGGAAGCCAATAAGGTCAACCAGTTGCTCAATTGGAATATTCACGGATAATAGGGAGTCTAATGTACTTGACGAACTGTACACGACCAGACTTGGCCTATCCGGTGAGTAAGTTGAGTAGATTTACGAGCAATCCCAGTCATGAGCACTAGAATGCTTTGAAAAGGGTACTGAAGTACTTAAAGTACACCCTTGAATACGGGCTAAAATACTCGAGATATCCAGCAGTACTTGAAGGATATTGTGATGCAAGCTGGATATCGGATTCGAGAGATTCTCACTCCATAAGTGGATATGTCTTCTGTATCGGAGGAGGAGCTGTTTCGTGGAAGTCCACAAAACAAACTTGTATAGCTCGGTCAACCATGGAGTCGGAGTTCATCGCTTTAGATAAAGCTGTTGAAGAAGTCGAGTGGCTTCGAAACTTTTTATCCGATATTCCATGTTGGAATAAACCTTTGCCGCCTGTGATGATTCATTGTGATAGCCAAGCTGCTATAGGGAGGGCGCAAAGTAACATGTACAATGGTAAGTCTAGACATATTCATCGTAGACATAATACCGTTCGCCAATTGATCACAAATGGTATTATTTCCATTGACTACGTAAAGCCTAAGGAAAATTTGGTTGATCCTTTTACTAAAGGATTGAATAGAGATCAATTAGGAATACTTCTAGAGGGAATGAGATTAAAAATCCACAATGAAAAGAATGATCATAGTGGGAACCCTACCTTGCTGAATGGAGATCCCATAAACTTGGTTCAAGGGGAAAACTAAACTATGAAAT